TTTAGTCTATTTTAACAATATTACTACTGAGCAATATCTGCGATATTCTTGAAGCAGTTGAACATTCTTCGAAAATATATCTGTTATATATGTTTAAAGTAAAATATGCACAATACGCCATGGTTTCTTCAACAGACATCCTTGGGCTACTTTCACGTATAGACGCCCCGGGTTTAAATAAAGGAAGTTAGGTCATGGCATTTCTGGCATTACGAAGTCGTTCTCTTATTTATAAGTACATTTATATGCATATCATTGAAAGATAGCTTAGTAAGCACAAGCTCTTATCATGTTCTCCTAACATTTCTGTTTATAAACATATTTTGCTGTAGTATGAATAATTAAATTACAGATCTAATTTTCTATAAGTACTCTTACAAACGACGAAGATGAATGTGAAGATCTCAAACATCGTTCTCGATGCTTTGACTACATTGAGCAACGTCAGTTATTCGTCTGTTTTATTGTGCTAAAAGAGTAGAAAGTAAAACAAAATAAACCAAACGGGCGGTGTGTGTGTGTGTGTGTGTGTGTGTGTGTTTGGATTTCACTTTGCTTATATCTGAGATATACCACTTCGTGCTGTGATCTATTCATATAATGTTCACAGCCTTTCAGCGTTTTTAAACCTATAAGCTTGTAACCTATTCCATGAATTGTTACTTGTTTGCATTGGTCTTTTATACTTCCAGGTTAAGGTTCTTGTCAAAGTAACGTAAATATAAACATTGTTGCCATGATGATTATCCCTTGGTCTAATTTAGACATTGAATTTGGAGTATGATGAGGATTTTGCTGAACATGTTGGTCTCGTGGTCTTACGAATAACGTTGACAGACTGTAGAATCACACAAGAGCAAGAAACATCACAAGTCATACATAAAGGACAATGAGGAGGATATCAATAAACATATACTGATTGAGTCAAGACACGTCAGCTGGTGACATGTCAAATACCGTAGAAACTCTTGTACAGGAACTGCAGAAATCACATGCGGTATGTAAATATTGCACCGGCAATATAACAGTATTGTAGAAATGTCAGAAGTGCAAAGAAATTTAGTTAAAAACATTCTTGTTAGAGTACTATTTGTTTTAGTAGGGCCTTCAGTGGTTATTGGATGTAACCCAGAGACAAATTTATATGTTAAAAGCATGAGAATCATATAGTAGATGACGGTCGTTTTTAGAAACAGCTACTGTTTTAATCTTGTGGTAATAGTAGGAGACCATTCAACGATTATGTCACCAGCTGATTCAAGAATATTCACATACACGTAGAACACTATGGTACAAACATCATCACTGTCAAATATTACAGTAAGTATATCACAGTTTTGCTCGAATATAAGAAGGCAATTAGACTCTCTGTCAATCAGTCCTGGAAACAGCTCAGATTATACAACAAATGAATGCGTCAAATAACAGTTACTTCTTGTAACCAGATCTTGCACCCGACGTTATCCGTTGATTTACATGGATATTTCATTAAAACACCTGGGCATTTCCTCAAAAACACCTGGATATTTCAGCATGAGGCCGGGTATGTCTTCAGAGGCCTCGACGTGTAATCACTATGTCCCTTCAGTTGGGTGTTTCATAGCAGCGCCTGGGTCCATGACTGCTTCAGTTCGATGATTCCGTGATCTATGGTCTCTTGTGCGGCGTTCTTTAGAACACCACCTGGATATATAGTCAGTTAAGTTGAATATTTCATAGCTACACCTAGGTAAATCACCACTTTAGCCTGATGTTTCATAGCAACACCTAGGTAAATAACCACTTTAGCCTGATGTTTCATAGCAGCACCTAGGTAAATCACCACGTTAGCCTGATGTTTCATAGCAACACCTAGGTAAATCACCACTTTAGCCTGATGTTTCATAGCAACACCTAGGTAAATAACCACTTTAGCCTGATGTTTCATAGCAACACCTAGGTAAATCACCACTTTAGCCTGATGTTTCATAGCAACACCTAGGTAAATCACCACTTTAGCCTGATGTTTCATAGCAACACCTAGGTAAATAACCACTTTAGCCTGATGTTTCATAGCAACACCTAGGTAAATCACCACTCCAGCTTCATGTTTCATAGCAACACCACTTCAGCCTGATGTTTCATAACAAACAACTTGGTAAATCACCGCTTCAACTTGATGCTTCATGACAGCACCTATGTACATCGTTACTTGAGCTTGCTGTTTTCCAACTCCGAGCATCGTCATCTGCGCTTAGTGTGTCATAGAAACATATGGGTAAATCGTCACTTCAGCTTGACTTTCATCGGAACATCTGGCCACATCGTCACTTCAGTTGGATGTTATATAATAACACTCAGGTACATCATGGCGTAAGCTTGAAGTTTCCCAACAACACCTTGATATATCGCCACTTCAGTTGAATTTTTCATAGGAACGCCCAGATCCTTGGTCACTTCAGTTGGATGTTTCATAGGAACGCCCAGATCCTTGGTCACTTCAGTTGGATGTTTCATAGGAACGCCCAGATCCTTGGACATTTCAGTTGGATGTTTCATAGGAACGCCCAGATCCTTGGACACTTCAGTTGGATGTTTCATAGGAACGCCCAGATCCTTGGACACTTCAGTTGGATGTTCCTAGGAACGCCCAGATCCTTGGACACTTCAGTTGGATGTTTCATAGGAACGCCCAGATCCTTGGTCCCTTCAGTTGGATGTTTCATAGGAACGCCCAGATCCTTGGACACTTCAGTTGGATGTTTCATAGGAACGCCCAGATCCTTTGGGCACTTCAGTTGGATTCGTAATAACTGTTGATTATATCGTCACTTCACCTCGATGTTTTCTAACAACTTCAGGGAACACATCAAAACATAAGCTGGTAATTTTATAAGTACAACTGGCTGCATTTTCACTTGAGGTGGAAGTCATAACAACAGCTTGACGTTTCACATCAACATCTGCGTACATCGTCACTTCAGGTTGAAGATTCATAACAGCACTTGGATATATCGTCACTTCAGTTGGATGTTCAAGAGATAACATCCCAGTACATGGTCACATCTGACAGCCATCATATTACCTCGATGCTTCAATAAATGGATATTTCGTCCGTTAGCAGTTACAAGCCGACCAACCCTGTCACCACGAATTTATTCTAAGACTTTGTTCTAAACATGCCTCTGTTCATCCAGCAGCGAATACTAACGTAACGTGGCTGTCAGAGTTCTATTTTGGTTTAGATACACCCCGGGTAGCTGAGAATAAAACTCGAGTTCACACTGATCCAGTGAGCCAGGTAATAAGACTGAGCATGTATCAGAGTGTTGCTTGAGCATAATAAATCTACACCTTATCTGTTCATCTTAAGATGTTGCTGCACAATTCCTTGCAGTGCTCGCCAGAGTAAATATTGTTTGTGTCCACAACTATATGTTGTTTCATTCAATGTATATATGCTATGGTGTTTAAATTTTCATACCATGACGTTCTCCTTAACATAGCTGTATGATGTCCTTGAACTGTTCTTCTGCGTAACATTTTGATGTCCCAACCTGACAATTGTAAATATGGTTTAATGTCCTCCGTTTTTATGTATATATATAATAGTCCAGTGTAATCCATTACTTCTGAAGTTAGTCTCTAAAACTGCGTTGTGCACGAACAAAAAACACTGGGTTTTACAGCAGCCCAGTCATAGCTATCACACAATGCTCTCTCACTTTTCTCTGTAATCCCTGATATGAATTATACACTGCACATTTAACAGTGAGTGTTTATACATCATAACAAATAAATACGTTAATAATAGTAAATGTGAAACAATTTCCACAGCATTTCTGTGATAGTGTACAATCAGTATTGCTTGTTTGACGTAAACCTTCAACTCCGGTGTCTTTTCAAGAATCCGACAAAACGTAGTGTTATTGTCGCTAGTTGTCATTGCCTGAATCTACGGATTCGGATATCCAGTGGTGGTTGTAGCGCCTATTTACACACAGTGTTAATGTTAATAGGTGCCTGTACCAGCTATCTTCGCATTATGATTGCCAGTTGACCCCGGGTCACTTTCTGTTGGAATATAATTCTATTGTTAGTATATTTATGTGCCAGTTGTCTACAGATAACACTTTCCCAGGGTGGTTCTGTCACCTTTGGAAGGACCTGAAGTGTTATTGGTAGCGATGTGTAAGCTTCATTATTGTATGCTATTGGTCAATGTATTACGATTTACAAGGGTGATTGCGTCACTTTTGGACGGACCTGAAGTGTTACTGTTAGTGGCAGAGAAAGCTTGTTTTCTGCGGATTATGATTTCCAAATTTATGGTCGTAGTGTCAACTTCTGTTGGATGTAGTTTTATTATTAGCAGCTTAATGTACTGGTTTCTCCAGATCACGACTTACCGGGATTGTTTCTTCACTTTGGAACCACCTTGGAAGTTTTTGGGTAGTAGTTGTTAATCTAGTTGTCCACGGGTTATAATTACCATGGCGGTTGTGTCACTCTCTGTTGAACTTGAAGTGTTATTATTAGTTGTATGTCCGCTGGTTGTCTACGGGAAATGATTATGTGGTGGTTATGTCACTTTCTGAAGAACTTGAAGTGTTGTTGGTAGTTGTGTGCGTGCATGCTAGTCGTCTACGTATTATGATTTACAGTGGTGGGTGAGTCACCTTTGAAGGACCTGATGTGTTGTTGGTTGTGTATGATAGTTGTCTACAAAACCAGAATTTAATTGTACTCTACGAAATAGAATTGCAAATATATGTTATGTCGTTCTCGTCATCTACATCTAGGGTTTACTGAGTTTGCGATAAGTTAGCTTCATCCTCTTTCCGTTTCTATTCTTAGGAGCTTTACGGTATCAGGGCATTCGGGTATAACCTTGTCTGGCAGTCTATGACTTCAATTGTACCGGTTCAACAACCCAAACTGTCCATTCCATAAGTAGACGGTAGACTCTGGGTGTTCGTTAGATAGTTTATCCTCCCTCCTCAAAATGGGTAATGTTTCAATGGCAAAGAAAACATTTTATTCTGAAAGGTCAATGTTGACACACACCAGCACATTCCCATCTAGCCTTCAGAGTGAAATGCTCAATGAATGTCCATCACATTCACCAATTCTTGAAAATAGTTTTTCTTTCAACTGCCCTGGAACACACACCCTTTGTGTTACTATCACAGTCACCTTTCCATACGTCTGTCTTCGTTATTACAAACAAGTTCATTTATTATCAAGCCTGTTTTCTTTCAGTCTGTATGTACAGAATGAGTAATGGCAATGCCATACGTCTTCAAATCAAGGTAAACCAATATTGCAGTATCGCTTATCGATTTTGCTATATCCGCTGCTCGTTGATCTCTGCACCGTTAAATCCACCAAGATTACTTATTTTTCGGATACTTTGTTTGCTGTCAGTGTTGTCTTTAAATATAGCTCTCCTTACTCCCAGGGCACCAGCCCCTACTCTTTTAGTGAAGGGTTCCCGGAGTAAAGGTTGAACGTGTCCATTTACTGTCATGGAGGCTGCGGTTTGGTTCTGTTTCTGAAATCAACAAGAATTACACAGGTGAATAGTTGCAATGTGATGCCTTAACAACATCAGACATATTATAAAAAAGTAATTATGTATTCCCCCTATCGACAAATTATAGACAATACAATACAATACCACACAGGTCATGTTTACGTTACTTATACCATACTGAAATCGATGCCCATATTAATCAGTGATAGCTGTAATTGTCCGTGATGAACACGGTCGATTGGGTGCAGCCTGTGTACTTCTGTAATACTTGTTTTATCACGTTTTTCTTAGAATGAGGCATAAAATGAAATACTACTTAAACGTGGACATACGGGCAAAGGGATATGCTAATAAATCATTCACAAATAAACCTATTTGTAAGAAATAGGGGTAAATGTTTTAGATATTAGTAAAATGAATTTCAAATCATGTTTTAAGAAACTTAATAAACAAATTTGTTCAAAGTAATGTATCAAGCAAGCATGCAGTCTTGGTCCAGACTTTCTGGTCAAATGCATGATTGTAAACTGGTACAAACATGTGCAATGCATGCATAATGTCATGCACGAAAACTGACATTCGGCAAATTATATAATTATAAACTCATTGACAAAACAACTAGCATTATCACATACCATAAATTTCACATGCAAATATACTATACGAGTAAATATATTGGTAGCATAGCATTCAAAATGTGCTAATAATTCTGCGGCAGTCAAACTTTATTTAAAACAAAACGTGTGATTCTATCCAAAAGACTATTGCTAAGAATTATAATGTGTTCTAAATGAAAACAAAATGTGAATGAAATACATTTGTTCATCATAGCTTAAACCTGAAGAAAGCGCTGCTGACGATGCTACAAACTAGTTATAAGTGTGATACTCTTCATCCTCGGTTTTGGTTGCTCTTTTATCAAGACATTGTTCCGTGCCGCTTTCATAACATAATGATAACATAATGTCTAAAAATTCCTGTAACAGCAGTATATATTTTTAGGCAAGCACGTTTATAGGCAATGACATGTTATGACGCATCGAAATCTGGCTGTGGCCCAAATTAGACGTTTACTAATGTCATTTGCTTGTCTCTACTAATTAATTGTTTAGTTATATTAGATCTGATCGGCCATAGCCTGTAAACAGCGAATCATTGAGATCGGGCAATTACAGATAATCTCGATTACTGACTGACTGAGTTTGGTTTTACGCCGCTTTTAGCAATATTCCAGCAATATCACGGCGGGGGACACCAGAAATGGGCTTAACACATTGTGCCCATGTGGGGAATCGAACCCGGGTCTTCGGCGTGACGAGCCAACGCTTTAACCACGAGGCTACCCCACCGCCCCTCTCGATTACTGACATTTACAAACTGATATGTTTCTTTACAAAAAATGGAAATCGTTTTCATGATAGTTTTTACTAGTTTTCTTGCTGTTTTTCAGAATTGAAAATTGAATCTTTAGACACTTTGGCAATGACAGTCTGTTTCTGTTGTACCCACTTTGGAAACTTTGGCAATGCTATTATGCTTCTGTCGTAGTCTGTTCAGAGACTTTGGCAAAGGTATTATGTTTCTGAAGTCCCCTGTTTAGAGACTTTGGCAATGATATTATGTTTTCCTCAACCTACGTAACTAAGTGCGAATTGAGTTAAACGTCGGTTAGCAATATTTCAGTCATGTCACGGCATGTCAGCTTACCAGCGTGGAAGGACCACTGCCATGGAGGTCTTAAACACGACTTTGAGAAAAAAACACCACAAATATAGTCGCGATGCTGATAACCAAGAAACAGGAACAGGGCCAATCATGACTTCGAGATCTGGTACGACAAGGTGACCCAAATTGCAGCTTAGGAGAGAGAGACCCCGTGCTCATAATGCCTAGATATAAACATCACTAAGTAGATAATGAACCAACGACCGGACTAAGAGCCTATTAAAAGATTTTTTCTGCTCGGGCAAAGAATACCATTGTCAAAAAATAGTCATGCAACTGGAATATCTGGAGTGCGGTGTTATACAACAAAAAGAAAACATCTTCTGAAATGTTGGAAACAATTCTACAAGGGCGGCAATTAATCTGCCAAGAACTCAGCGTTCTCATTCAGAATAAACATTGAGAAATATTCTTTAAATTTAAATGAAACTGGATTTTATATGACTTTATGAGAATGGTTTATATATGTTGGCATAAACGTTCGATCGACAATGAAACATTTTGAACCGAACATTTGGGTCATGTTCCTCAAAGGGTGGGAACGGGGAGACTAGTTTTCCCGTGGTACTGAATTACTAATTGTGTTTGCTTACCATGTTACTGCTTAAGTTTCCGTGCGAAAACGGCGGGAACAGCATCGACATAAGAGCTGCTTAATCGAAAACCGAGGACGACTCTAAACTATTATGCCACATTTTCTACGAACCAATTAAGATGGAGCTGGACCTCGTCCTTCCGTACGTAAATTGACCACTACAATTTGAAATATATCTCATATTCCGTATTAGCCGTGTTCGTTAACCCAAAATCCGTATACTGCGAGATACCTGCATGGTTGTAGTACGTCCGGATAAACGAGTTTCAACTGTAGCCAAATGTTTTAGGTGGCTAAGGAGCTGCATATCAATAATTGGTTCTATTGTATTGACTTTTCTCGTCAACTGGTTTTCTTTTCGCACGTGCAGATAATTACGTGCTTTACACATTTTACCACACGGCAATGGGGAGTCGAACCCGTGTCTTGGTCGTAACGAACAAACCCTTACTGGGCCACACGTTCTTTTTCAACTTTAACTGGGGCCTTTTGTTGTAGTGCTGAAAACATATCAACTCCAAACCAAAATGGCCAAAGTGTGTGTAATCATGTGCTCATGTATCGGTGACGTAATGACTTTACGTACACATGTACCTGTGACGCGGAGGTATGAGACACCTCGCTGAAGGATGTAAAGATGCTAAGTGATCTGCTCATGCGCCTTAAGCTTGATGTATGTATGAGCCTACGTTGTCGATATCTCTCCCAGTGCCTCCGAATTGTCACTCGTACCTGTTGCCATAGAAACACTTGTCAATATCCATTAGTCTACATTCCTATCCCGTGTACATCTCAGCGGCAATTTCATTCACAGTCTGAAAAGATTTCATCTTCATGTAATTAAAATCAATAACAGGAAGACTCTCCCAAGTTATTGAGTACATTGCCTGTCTAAATGAGTTTGCAACCTTGGTTGTTCTAGAAAAAACTTTCTTCATCATTACATTTCTGATCAAACAAACAATGCTGATCAAACTGTAATGAAATTGCCTCCTGATCAATGTTTCGATTTGGAACCTCTCGTAGAACTGATAACCACAGGTTAATTGGGTCTTGAATTAACCATGAAATCGTTTGACTGTGGTTCCAAATCAATACATGTTAGGTAAGTCATGCTGTGCAATGGTGCTCATATAACACAAGAATACAAAGTTTGAAAGTTAGACTGCGCATGTCCTAATCTGTGCTGCATGCTGTTAGCCAGACAACGTCATGTATATTTGGGTGGGACGCCATCACTTCTTGTGTACCTTGTTACTTCCGTTTCGCCATGTTACCGTGGAATAGTCGAGTGATGCAGAAGTTGGGTATCTTCGACATAACTGCCTCTGTAGCGTTATTTGCACCTAGGTTCATTAATATTGGAATGATAAATGTTGTTTCTTTTCAAATCAGACAACATATTGATCAGAAATCATCAATTCTCAACCGTTTGAAAATGCATCAATCTGAAGATGAAGCAACACATACATGGCACTGTAAAGTGAAACACATTTTAATGTGGAGAAGTTTCCGAAACAAGATGTTACAGATTAACGGGGTTGAACTATACTGAATTTGTTGCATTACAGAATATGTACTGAATGAAGACACATTCATAATTTTAAAATAATAATTATAATAATAAATAATTATAATATTTTTTTCAATATTCCATTGCGAAATGATCGTGGCATAGAATTGAAGATTCGAAATGTTTGTTATTCTTTTCTTATTTTTGGTGCTATATATTGTACATATATAACCTAAAGCATACGTATGGCATTGAAATAGATGTAGACAATATGATGCCAAATGAAATAGATGTGTGGTTGATAAGATGGTGTGCTAAATTTTAAAGTTGATAAACCACTTGTGCAAGTGTGATATTGTGCAATGACAATATAAAACCAAAGGTCGACAGAGCTGACAGATAAATAAAAAAAGATAGTTATAAACTTCGCCATGAGTAATTAATAGAGCACTCATTCAACCGATCCAATAGTTCTCTTACTAACATCCTACAATTATATGCAACAGCTATTTACCACAATTCAGCAGTTGTCATGAACATGATGAATTCCAAATGGTATTGTGTTCAATTGTATTTGATTGTTTACTTCCATAAAAGGTCATTTTCTGTCATTGTATACACTAGTGTCATTGAGCACTTGCGCATGTATTTCAAACAAGATGTTTTGCAATCAGGGTGAACGATGATATATAAAAACGGTCAAGATAGAGCAATCTTCATGGACATATAGTTACAGCGTATAAGTAGTTGTAAACTTACCTCTCCGTTAAGGAAGCAGTAAAGCAGTGAGATAAAGAAACCTTCAAATGAGATGAGAAAATGGGCGCTGAATGCCCACACGCCGAACTTGATTATGTTATCATGACTTGGCTCTATCATCACCACAAAGTTCGTTATACCAAGCAATGGTAGCAGTACTATTGCCGCCTTTACTGCTTTTCTGAAAATTAAAAAAACAAAACAAAGCGGTCATTGACATTGATAAAGAAAAATAATTAACATTTCTTTCCGGTCGGTTAACACTGGGACAGTGTGGAGGACATCAGGCATAATGGTTGTGTTCCCACAAACCGGAATAAATAACGAGGAAATTAAAATATATTATCATTGGTATTTCTCTTTCCCAGTTTCATTACGTCCAAGGACAGCCGCAGTCTATTTCATTTTGCAAACTAATCTTCGATGAGAACACCTCACCGGTATGTGATATATAAGACCACTGACATGAAACATTTGCGACACGACGTTGATATTTAAAGAACTGTATCACTGATTACTTCTGTTATTTCGTAAATGCCATATGTTTGAAGAGAGCGTCTGTATTTTAAATGGCTCAAGACGAGTGGGAGTTCGCATTGTTCTTGAAACGCCATTTTAAATGTAGGCATACTCCTTGGATACATGTTAAAGATGACGATGGCATACAATCAGATATTAATTTCTTCAGACATAAATTACAATAACGTTTTTTGAAAGATATTATTAATTATCACACCTGTGAATAGTTGCGTATGCGCATTGTTAACGTTCTTTATCATCACTGTAGCTTTTTGTCTGACATATGTAAGACAATATGCATATGTCCGAATACGAATACCAATTCATTGTACTTTCAAATAAAGGTTAAAACATTTGATTTGACAAATATATGTTACTGACATCATGTTATTTAAGAAAGTTAAAACAGATCCAGTTGATGGGATGTCTGTGACATAAAAACCTGAACATCGCATATCCATGTAAAAGCCGAAGGTTTTAGGTGCTCAAGAGTCATCTGCTGTTGATCAGAGGCTACCGCATATACATCTAATGGAGGAAGATGGTCCACCCACGTGGATGCAAAACACGGCAGGTGTCATACAAACCCACAGCTCTAAGGCAGGCTCGTGCACTTCAGCATTAATGGGTAATGCACTGTACTTTGCAAAACATCTATGACTAATAGCATATGTTGCAACAGAACTTACATTTCTATACACAATGTGCCTCCCACGTATCCATAACTCAATATGGTAAGAACTTCATCAATCTCAATACCATTATCAGATCACTGGTTGGAAACAGACACTACTCAAAATATCCTCGACAAAGGTTAACTGAATCAACACAGGTATCCAATATACCAATGTTCACCATAAATTGTACGGTGTTTTTATCTTGTACGGCAGTCCAACACGTGTCTCACACACACATTGTTATAACTTAGCAATTGGAGTTACATTATTTTCATTGAAGATGTTGATCGGGTATTCTGACATCTGAGGGTAATGCAAGTTGGTATTAGGATTAGAGCAGAACGTTTGTTGATAGAATTTGTTTTTGTTAAGATTCAAACAAGATCAGACATTGCTGTTCAGTTCTAAGTAGAAATATCAATAGTATGATAAATATACATAAAGTCTCTTCCAGATGAATTGATGTTTAAATGCATTAAAGTTTCAGTTAAACACGATCTATAATCAGCATGAGAGCAGCTGTTCAGATTATCCTTTCAAGAATTGACAGAATTGACGACGAAGTGAACCTGTCACCACTTTTTCTCAAGTTATAATACCCAGAAATAAGTTAAAGACCACCTATATTAAATTTTCAAATGGTTCAAAGTCTCATGTACCGCTTGGACATATACTGATGGTAACAAATAAGGGAACACATGCATGTACAAGTGTTTCTGTGTTCCTTTCCAGGTTACTCCCCGTGATTTGTATTCGTCTATTGGTGAAAATCGGGAAATAAATGTAGGAACAATTGTACTTTCATCTGTTCCCTTATGTTTCCATCAGGGAAATACACTTACTAGGGCCGGGGCAAGTAATTTAGGGACTGGGGCATTCTAAGTAGGACCGAGGTACCCCCAGGAATGGACGGGCGCGTGATCAGTCACAGCATATATTACCAATGTCACAAACAATATAACTCCATGGTGACATGACAATTCACCTATTGTTACATTTCTTTCAGACAATACATGCATTCCTTCTGATACATGTTTTGGTTAAAATGTCGTGTCTGCATGATCCGATTAATTCCATGTGCACCTTAATTGTTGTCACTGAGGGTTTACTAAAACAATGCAAATATTTTGTACACGATGCTTGATATCTTCAGATGCCCAGGTCGGTTCGGGTTCGTTATCTGAGCATCCTACAAGGTGTGACACTGGAGTCATTACTGACATCGGACACCATTGATACCAATTACATTTTGTACAAGAACACCCGACCTTCCTTCAGATGGTCTCTGTCATATCATGTAATACAAATATTGTATTTAAGAAGTTTGTTCTTCTTTGCAAACAAACGTAAATGACAAAGCTGCTTCAGCACTAATGGGAAAAAAAGTATTGAAGCTGGATGTAAAATTTGCTACCTCTTCGGGTGTGATCGGCATAAACATATCGGAAACACACATTACATGTAAGCAACTAACGCAATAATCATAGCTGATAAAGTACGAAGATATAAAAGAACTTTCTTTTTGTGTGCAGCAGGATAATACCGTTAGGGCATTGGAACAAATATGGTATTAACAGCATTCAAAGGAATGTGTATGTGTGTCTGTGTGTGTGTGTGTGTTTGGTTTTGTGTTAGTGCATGTACTATTTTGAGTGTGTGATCAACCCAGAACTTCAACGATAGAGTAATATGAAATTCTGTCACAACATTGATATACCAACCGAACTTTGTTTGCTTCATTCGTGTGGCTTTGTCTCAGTTTCATCACCAACACCCTGATGATGTTTAAAAGGAATAATAAATTGACCTGGAAATAAAAGAAAATGAGATAATTTGATTAAGAAGCAAGAGAAGAAGATGAGAAGAAGAAGAAAAAGAGGACTGGGAGAAGAAGAAAAAGAAAGAAGGGGAGGAGAGGAAGAACGAGAAGAAGAGAGAAGAAGAAGAAAAGAACTGAGAAAAAGTGCATTTGTACAGCGTCAAATTTCCATGTTATTGTGTAGCATAACACATGCTTAATATTTAGCTGGAATGGTGCACAGGACTTTTGAAATTATTATGGAAAAGTGTTTTTAGCTCGTATATAAAAGTAGGTTGAGTATGCGGGATTATATATCTCAAAATAATGCTGCATCAAAGTCTGAGGGATTAACTGATGTACAGCTGGGATGTATTTAGAAGAGAAACATATCGGTGACATTTCCATAGACAGCTTAAGGTCAGACATGTCCTTCCAGTTGAAATGTCAACACAGATATCAAATAATCATGTCTGTCTGATACTTAGAGGATAAAATCCTTAAGTTTGTTCCCCACAACATGATCAGAAAAAAACATTACTCTATAAACGCTTATAGGTATGTTCTCATTGCCATTGCGATATCCTCACACCACCTTGAAGATTCGGTAAGAATTGGTCTTCAACAACCCATCCTTGTAAGATGCAGCGACGAGAGCGGGAGGTCAGACTCGCTGATTTCTCTGATGCATGTCAACGTATCCTAATTATATTGATCGATGATCATGATGTCAATTACAGAACTGTCTGGTCCAGACTAGATTATTTACAGACCGCCGTTAAATAGCTGGAATATTGCTGAGTGGGGCGTTAAACAACAAAGGGTGGCTCAATCCCCAAGCTACATACTAAAAGATCTTATGGGGATCAGTATTTTATGCCGGATATGAGTGGGTTTTGAAGTACTGGTGTCTCAGTAGGTCGGGAACAAAAACATGCATAAATCTGGACGCGTGGTTGCACGTCGATTAAAGTGCACCAGTCGTTGAATTAAAATTGTGATCCTATGTGATCTAATACTTCGTACAACCATTATGTTCTGTGTACTTACAGCTATTACTGCTACTCTAGGCGCTTCAATGATCCATATTATTTTTAGATAGTAATATGCATACCAGCATCTGAAAAATGCAAGAAAATATTAGTAATTAATGGGAATATATAAAAAAGTAATGTTCTACTAACACTTTTTTACCAGACCTTCCTCAGTATATTATTTCCAATGGGTACCCCATTGGACAAAATATACATGCGTACTTATACATCAGGCGATATAAAGATATATGGTAAGATGAGACACTGTAAGACACACTGCCGTGGTCTTTAGTTAAACGGTGCATCGTTCTGACAAAAGGGATAATACAACAATTTTCAATACGTTTTCTACAGGCAAAGGGTAATTATTTCCCCTGTAAGAATTACAGTATACCAGTATGAAAATATCAACTGATAAACATATGTTTAACTGTTAACATATGAGACCATATTAACTGTTAACAGTATTATATGAACCGTTAATCGGCATCATAATATTAATGTTACATTGTATTAAAAAGCTATTTGAATACTTACTTTGCAACATACATCTGCGTCATTGCGATTACCCACGCCACTATCAACAACACCGGAAAACCTGAAATCAAAACAGTTAATTGTATATATATTGTAATACTGTGATGTAAACGAGCATGTATATTGATATTATCGTTCACCTGGAATATAAACAAGCATGAAGTGATACATTGCCCATCAGGAAAGTAAACAAGCATGCACTGAAATTTATTACCCATATGGTGAACCATAACCAGTGTCATATATATTATATGTGCACATTTGAACATATCACTTTTGCCTAGCAACCATTGTTTCTGTATTTGTTCGTCTGTGACGTCATTAAACAATTGAACATGACGTCAATGAAGTGGGCCGTCACACTTGCTTACCGTGTTTTACTGCACAAATGTAGATGAATGAAATGGATAATAAAGAAATTATCACACTCGAGCAAGTGTGTCATATGACTTATATGAAACTCGCTTTTGCTCGGGCAATACAAAATTTCACACTCGTTTCTTAAAAGTCGTATGACACACTTGCTCGTGTAATAATCTCCATATATTTCACCTGGCATGTAAATAAGCATATATGAATATTATATACCAGGACTATAAACAAGCACAGATGATATATTTTACACCTGGAGCGTATGCATGCAGGTTTTGATATATTCAGCAACTGGAATGTAAATATACATATATTGATATATTTTACACCTGGAATGTAAATAAGCACACATTGATAGCGCATACAGGATTGAGCACATATTCAATAAGCATATGCGGATATGTGCCCCTCCATAGTGGGTAAACAAGCATCTGTTGATATGTGCCTCTCCACAAAGGGTAAACAAGAATGTGTTGCCAAGTGCCTCTCCGTAGTGGGTAAACAGGCATATGCTGACATGTGCCTCTCCATAGTGGGTTAACAGGCATGTGTTGATATGTGCCTCTCCATAGTGGGTAAACATGATATGTTGATATGTGCCTCTCCATAGTGGGTAAACATGATATGTTGATATGTGCCTCTCCATAGTGGGTAAACAGCCATGCGTTGATATGTGCCTCTCCAAAGTTGGTAAACAAGCATATCTTGATATGTCCCTCTCCGTAGAGGATATACAAGCATATGTTGATATGTGTCTCTTCGTAGAGGATATACAAGCACATGTTGATATGTGCCTCTGCGTAGAGGATATACAAGCACATGTTGATATGTGCCTCTCCATAGTGACTATACAGACATGTTGATATGTGCCTCTCCATAGTGACTAAACAGACATGTTGATATGTGCCTCTCCATAGAGGGCAAACAGGCATGTGTTGATATGCGCCTCTCCAAAGTGGGTAAACAAGCACATGTTGATATGTGCCTATCCGTGGAGGATAAACAAGCATGTATTAATCGGTTGACATGTACAGCCAATTATGTAAACACGCATTTCTTGACATATTCTAGACCATTTAGTTTATTCAGGCATTAGTGAAAGATTAGTGATATGATTGACAATATTTCCTGTCTCACTTTGTTACATGTGCAAGGGTGACACGTACCCCTACTCAGTCAAAATTAATACATGTTGGCCTCTAACTATAATGTTATACAATGGTAATAACATATTCAGACCAGTGTTACAATCCTGCAGGAATTTAAATAGTACCTATAGTTCACAATAATTATATCCACGGATTGTTAGTAATTCTAGCAATACCACAGGCGTAAATATATGGTTTCTGATTAAAACAACACGATCTCTTATAACATATTTTTCAGTAACATGCAAGTCTGAATCAGATAAGAGTTTAGATTCTCGAAAAAGAAACAGGTGCGAGCTTGGATTGTTTCTAGTCATGCAAATGTGTAAATAATTGATTACGGTTGCTATTTCAGAATTGAAAACTACTTCTCATTGCAGTGGAATCAATGACACGTCAAATATATCGTTGCCAATCCAGACCAAGACATGGTCGGCAAACCAAAATTGGAACCGAACCTTTTGTCATCAAAATAATCAACAATTAATTTGTGGGTAATGGTCTGTGTTATCTGGGGTCCCAGTAAAACCCATAGCGTCAAGGGTAATTTGAGTATCAGCTGTCAATAGACCTTTGAAGGCACTCGAAATCATTGCAAGCCGGGACAACATTTGACGTATGGATATCAATAGCTCAAGAGTGCTACGTGATGTAAAGATCCTAGGATAAAGGATAAAGGATAAAGTGCCAGAAAACTGGTAATATGGAAGTATGTGTTCATTATTTCTCTGCGTATTATGACCAGAGCAGCCGGTGGAAATGATCACTCTTATCTTTACCCTTACCGTTTCAGAACTATATGTTTCAAAAGGCTGCTGTTCACAAGCATTAGTTGTATATGCAAAAGTGCAAAACCCATCACGAAAAAACCTTCGATCATATAGGACTCACAAAAAATAAACACAGATGAACAGTAAACGCGCAAAAAATGTGCATCGTCGAAGGTGTTTTGGCGGAAACAGACTTTTTGCGGTTACGGAAATTAGCGAGTCTGGCCGACTGAACAGTGACATGTCGTATCAGGGTTTTAGATCTGATTTTAATGATATGGGGGCATGAAACTGACAAACCTTGAGGCGTTACAAGGTCATGTCGGTCAGGGCTTAACTTGAACGGTTATATCATACCATCTTCTACTTCACTAGCTCCTTCTTTGCAAACTGAAGCAAACTGATTAAACGTGCTGAAGGCAAGCCGGAGACCCCGATGTACTTTCTTTGGTGAGATCTATTTCCACCAGGTCTACAGACAGATAACCAGTAACATTAAATTAGATGAGACAAATGTGTATCGATGTGTAATGGATAGCACTTTCAGCACAACCTTCAAAGATTTGCTATTTTCTGATTAATTTCCTTTTTCAATTGATGACCTATCTTTAACCTGATGGTGTTTCACTTATTTAAGAAAACACAGTTTCGACATTCCTATGCCCTGACAAAGAAGCATTTCCCCAATCATCAGTGATATGTTGAACAAGCGATTACTGATCAAGAACGAGATATGTTCGTGTTTATACTTATTGATTTTATTTGTTTCATGTGAGATGAGTCATGTTATGGCTGGCCTTGCTCAGGTCAAATCCAAGGGGCGACCCGATGGCACAGTGGTTAAAGCGTTCCCCCCTTACGTCGAAGGCCTGGGTTCGTTTCCACATGGGTACAATTTATTTTTCAAAAAAGCTACTCGAATATTGCCAAAGGCGGAGTGGAACCTTACTCCCCCACTCACTTAAAACAAACGACTAGAGAGAATGTGTTTAGGTGAAATCTATTTGTTCAGAGTTGTATACATTTGCAGATATCAAAGGCTTGACCTTCATATGTGTTAGTTGTGTATTACTTCTTTGCACTTATAGGTATTTCAGCTACACGATGACGTGTCTGTAAAGTGTCGAGTGGGGAACAGGTAGCCCAGTGAAGTGCATCATGAGCAACGATCCCAGTAATTGGGATACGATGACGTGTTTTCAATCAAGTTACGGCGTCGAACCAACAAATCCACGAGTGGTCACTGTGGTCATATATACTCATGGAAACGAATGTGTTCCTTTGTTCTTTTTTCATGTTTCTCCACAATGTATGTATAGCACTGTGGGTGAAATTCTGGAAATAAATAAAGGAACACTTGTACTTTCATATGTTCCTTTATTCGTTTCCATGAGTATATGATACCCCGGACTGTCCTCTGGTTCAAAACAAGAGTCTTCCAGTTGGCGACCTTGGTGCGAAAGGTTGACGATAGTAGGGTTTGGGTTTCGTCTCCGTACGAAACTAACAAAAGGACATCCGCATGATTTAATATTTGACAAGTGACTGAGTTGTATTTTAAGCCATTTCACCAATATTTCAGCAATATTTCAGCAATGTCACCGATGTGGGAATGGACTTCACGCATTTTACCATGTAGGGAATCAAACCCGGGGGTCGGGATGACGAGCGAAATGTTTGTCAATTTATTACCTGTTATGAAAAAAGAACAACATCTATATTTGTGACCTTTTCATTACCATATTTAATGGAACCGTATGAGAAGTAATCAGATGTGTCATGTTAGTTCAGCTGAAGTCAACTGACATGGGTGGGCACCTTTGAAATGTACACATTTCAACCACGTCAATGAATATAGATTTGGTTTTGTAGTACACTCTCCCAATTTGACGTGGCTATAAACATTACCTCAGGTAACAAATAGGGATCAGGACGTTCGCGAAAAGATGGCCACGACAACTGATCCAGATTCGGACACTTTCGCAATTTTCTCTACACCATTACCTGAGATAATAAATGTCCCGAACGTAAATAATATTGATTCTTCTTGCGTTCAGCAGCGTTACTTAATAAGATCATTTTCACCCACGTTGCAATACAAATATGCTCACAAGTAATATATACAGTATATTTGTACAAAGTGACAAAAATCATTTCCATAAGGAATCTGTACTACAAATGTACTCTCATCCCATACACACATACGTGTTTTCTTCAATATTTTTTTATACTGGTAGAATTACTAATATATGTGCAGGGGAGGGGCATTTGAATATTCAGACTGCATGTACAATCCTTAGGCACTCACTCGCTCGCTCGCTCACTCACTCACTCACTCACTCACTCACTCACTCACTCACTCACTCACCCATCCACCCACCCACCCACCCACTATTCATTCACTCACTATCTTTACATTCATTACTACCTGATTATTTGCAAAATAGAAAAGACAATAGCAGTCTGACCAAGAACTGCAACAGCAATCAATAGCCAGGCACCATATATTCCTAGATGCAATTATTCCCATCAGAAATAGACCATCTGTTCAATTATGAATACCCTTGTCACAATAAATGAAAACAGATATATCAAATTATCTCAAGGTCAATATGAAGGATTATCGACGTATGCTTCATATAATGTCGGACTCTCAAGATGAAAGGTTTCAAGGAGATTGGATCAATACCGTTACTTTGACCGCAATTACTGTGTAATAGGTTCACATCATAAACAGTATCATCATCGCATCTTGACGATATACATTTATGATACCACGAAAACATCATCCAGCTTAAGCTGCACGTGCAGCACGTTCACGTGTGTAGCTTACGGCATTCGTGTTTTTCTAACTTTTTACTTTTGAACTTTTTTGGGAAAATTCTCCAGAATATCAAACATCAGGCCTCCTCCAGATTTCCTTTGAAAATGATTTTTTGGCTTTTATCTAAGTATGATTTTGGAAAGTGTTTTGTTGCTTTTATCCATTAGTAAGTTTCAAATTCTGCTTTATAAATATTCGTCTCTGTTCCAGCCATATAGAAGTATATATATTCATGTTGGACTTAGTGTGTATTGTATGGTTTCTATTTGGGAAACGAAAGATATTTTAAGGACATATATAAAGAATGTATAAATACTTTTTGAAATCAAATGTCCCTACCCATAATTTAGAAAAATAAATATTTGTAGACATGGTAATTTTGGTCGTTCTGGTTTCACTTGCATGATGTTTTAAGTAGACTGCCAACAAAGATTGTTGAACGATATATACTCAGCATATATTATCACGCACTCCGCGTGTGACTTGCATATAAAGGTGTTTTGACCAGTCCGACCAGTGACCGATGTTTTGAGCAATGATGAACGTGACACGCTGCAAACTAAGTCCCAGAGCCTGACCACAACTGAGCAGCTTCGATAAGCAATTAAGTGCTGGGGACAGTGACTGAAACCCAGCAGACTACACTGAGAGCCTTAAGGGTTAGCACATTGTGAAACCTGCAGACCCACAGGAAACTCTGTAGGCCGAAATATTTAGCTGTAAGGACACACCCTTGCTGTACAAGTTACAAAACACAAGAATAGAACGAAATGGCCTCTTGGAATCTGCAGGCGAACAGCCAAAACTTGTCGGCTACCGGAAATGATATATTCGGGCTCTACAGCAGTTCATTAATGGTATCAAAAGCAAGTAATTAGACACATACTGCACTGCATGAAGTGAATGTAAACTGATCTCAGCTCTTCTCCGCTTTACATCTAGGAGCTCTTGATCAGTATTGGAGTACAGTTAGTTTTGGACCCTGTGTTACAAAGCATTCTCAGTGTTAGAATTCATTTACCTTGATTTCAGCTCAATATAAACTGCAGGCCGTACAGGTCTGTTGACATTTAAAACATTCAATCCGGTGTGGATATTTCTACACTTCCAGTGTAGTCTAAAAGAGAGGGTTAGAGGAAGTTCCGGACACGTTTGTTCATATATACAGGGGCTTGCTCTTGCCTCAAACATTTCGCATTACATCTCACGTTCCTAGAAGATATGGCGGCGGTCTGTAAATAATCGAGTCAGTTAAGTCAGCACACTTGACCAACCGATCCCGTTATGGGTTGCTGAAGACCAATTCTAACCCGGCTCTTCAATGTTGCAAGAGGACCAGCAGTTCTGTGAAGATCACTTTTCACCCTGGATACTCAGGATAAGCCTATTTTGTAGCCTTGATCACTGCTGCAATGATTTGAAAATTACCATCACTGTCTTTATTGCCACATACAATCACTGCTGTATATCATAGTGCCTCTGAAATTGTACTGCCGTTGTAAATACTGTTTAATTTGTGAACGTAGTCAATTCTAAACTACAACTGTTAGTTGCATCACATTTAATACTGGCTAGTTGGTTTTACATCGACATTTTTTAAGGACTTATTTCCAAATAGGTTATAGTTTCAACTAGGGGATCAACATGGAACAATGGTACTAACGATCGGGTTGGTTGGTTGGTTGGTTGGTTGTTTAACGCCGCACGCAGTAAATTCCAGTTTTATAGCGGCGGTCTGTAAATAATCGAGTCTGGACCAGACAATCCGAACGATTGGAATGAAACAAGGACTAGCAAGCTCACAGTCTGTCTACTGTGTCGTATCCACGTTAAACTCAGACATGGTATCACAATACGCTACCACTGTAAAACCGGCAGTTGGACAACTTCTTTGAGAGGCATTTTAGAAGTTATATAGGTGGAGGAAAACCAAGTTCTATGGATAGTCAACTTCATTATTGCGATGAGTGCGACGCTTCGATGTAAGTACTAACACCGTTATCAAGGAAGTGATACAAAGAGTTGTAACATGGAGAATATATACATGGCTGCATAGTGTGTATATACATTTGATACGGTTGGTGTACATTGGATTGCTAATTAGTGATTTGAGCAGAGTAGGTTGATGTACAGAGTGATAGTGATTAAAACAATATGCAGAATGAGTTTATACAATAGAGGAGTTGATGTACACTGAGATGGTAATAGTGAGTTGAAGGGAGTAGGTTGACGTACACATTGATTGGTTGTGGTGACAATACACTAAAGGAAGCATGGAAGCCAATTGGACGAGGTATGGGTTGATTACTGGTGATCTTTAATTAGTTGGTGATAGGCCGAGGAAATAAAATAACCTTGATCACGGTTCATGGTGGGGTTGAAGCGTTGGATTTTATGGCTTCAAGAAGTTTCCTAATCTTGTAGATTACCAACCGAGCAGACTACAAGATTAGGAAACTTCTTGAAACTATATATATATTGTCCTTGTTACAACTATATGTATATGTATCACTTGCTTCATAACGGTATTAGTACCTACACCGAAACGTCGCTCTCAGTGCAATAAAGAAGCTGACTATCCATAGAACTTGGTTTTCCTTCAAGTACAATAATCTTGTACGAGACATTACTCCATTATCACCTCTTGTTGCGATATTCATGAAGAAAATGTCAAATGTATCTATTTCTAGACTTAATTTACCTGTTTAGTTATTGTTATATACTTGGTCTCAAGTGTTTCCGGAATAACAAATTAACTCACCCCACCCTATGGCGTAGAACACAGCATAATTCGGTTTCCCAGAAAAGACTGACACGGCGATCATATTGTGTAGATAGAGGCCCTCCACAAACATCCACATGAATTTGACAGTTTTCGTGTATTCCAATATGGCGTACAGGATTTCACAAAACACCGGCTGAAAGAAAAAGAAGTATCGATTAACTTGTATTTCAGAGCTATTATTGTCCTGTGGAATAATACGATGTTTACGAGAATCCATCGTTGAAAAATGTTAATATGTATCATCATATGCGGTGTGTAAGAATATTACATTGTATCATTGGTTGTGTTACATATTAACTAACACGACTACAAACGTTATGGTTTAAACATATTTGTATTCCTAGAGAATCTGGTTTGGTAAACAAGCAGAACTCTGCTTATATCAATACCTCACCAGTACATATCACTGAGTATATCATTTAAACAAAATAAACAACAACAACTGGAACAAAAAACGACAAATTAAATACGTTATTCTAGAACACCTTGTCTTAATGTTAAATGTTTGAAATAGTTTGTGAATAAACACGGAAAATAGATGTGTGTTGGTAGTACATATAACGTGTTCAGGATTAGAATTTCTTCATTTCATCTACATATATTTATACTTTACAAAATTCTGTTGTAATTAGTTTGAGGTTAGGTCACTTTTCACATAGATTGACTAGCCTGTTTAACATATCCATATTACCCCATATCCATAGAATAGATTTTAAACCTATGTAGCTATTAAGTATACTCACACCGTTTATAATATTCAGGCTTTAAACACTAGGCCCACATAAACATTTAGCAATGTAAGCATAATTCCGAACATTTTTAAAACGGATGTAACAGGGCGGGGGGCAGTTTCAATATCTCATCCCAAATCTTTCTTCTTTTAACTTACTCTGCTTGACAACAAATGCATTTTCTTTCTAGTTCACAAGAAGCCTACTTAATGTTCCAATGAATAACAAGTTGTATCACTAGTAGCATCTGCCATGTGTGTGCACTGCGCGTGACCGGAAACTCATCATTCCTTCTTCAAAGCTGTTTGCTGAGAGGTTGTGTTCACGATTTTCTCTGATATTATTCCAGTGATTACTCTTTCATCAGGCCTTTGTTGTGTTTCATTGAGGCTGTCCTCCAATTTTGATTGTTACACAAGTATAGTTTGGTATTAGATTCGTGTTTTTTGTCACATTGCGTGTTTGACCCAGCGGATATAATTAAAAGCTGCTGATAACGACAGTATGATGATCGACCCTTTCCATACAACTGAAAACAACCAACACCAGAGGATAATCACTGTCGATTATTTGAAAAAATTCAAAGGCCAACAGAAATAACTTTTCTGTAAAGTTCAGAAAAGTTTGTATTTCTCCTTTAGATGAAACGCACGGGTCTGGCTGTGTTTAGTTCGTGGGTTGCACCGTTAGCCAATAAGAGATTATGTTTCGGGTAATGAACCGTCTTTGAAGCATGGCAAATCAGCTATGTGGTCTGTGACGGGACGTGACAGGCGAGATGCTTGTTGGGTTGTTTTAGGTTAGGAAAATGACTGGACTCATTTCAACAGACATGTCTGACGAAGGCAGGAAACCCTAAGTTGGGACCATACTGTTTCTGGAATCGTTCTGATTGTTAGTTATGCGAACCAGAGAATTGTCGTCAAACTTGTGTCCTATGTAAATGCGTACGGACATGGCAAACGATAATTGTCCGTGGTGGGACAGTTTTTTAAAGGTAACCCAATTTCAGATAAATTCGATCTCTGATTGTGTAATCTTCCACCTTTGTTTTAGCCCCAATATTGTTTCACTTAATTACTTTGACAGAAGTTTCTGAGATGTCTTCAGCAAACACCTGGTATCATCACTAATTTTAAATATTCTGTTGGTATATATGTCACTATTTTGCCTATTTTAGACTAATGATTGTCTGCTGTTGACAATTTATATTTTGCAGAATTCATGATTTTCCAAACATCTTAAATAATAAGTTTAACAAATGAAATATATTTAAATGACAAGGATCTGGGATGAAGGGGTTTATATTTATTGGATCTACTGACTTACTGGTGCGGATGGTGATGTGGTGTCAATCGGGGATTTGGGCGAGGCACTTCATGTGATTAACAATGTTTTCGATCAGTTAGTCAACATTCGATTTCTTACTTATAATCACACACTGGCCTAAATATACCCGATAACAGATGGATATGTTTACACTGGTCTTAAGCAGATGGGGACAGGGAAGGTCCGGCGGCGTCAAGAAGATTGAGAATCAGACCACCTAGCCATGCACTCATCAACTAGCTCATGGATGGAGTAGGTATGACTTGGTACAGCTCTGTTTCAATCCCCTTTCTCAACCGGAAATAGGGGCTCAAACCACGGAGAACTTACCGTGTCATAGATGGCGCCACTACTTCCGCTGGAAGCGCCGGCCACTTCCCCTCCCGCTGTCCTCGCTATGTATTGGTCGATGTACAATATGAGCATGATAGAGATTTGAACAATGATGGCCACGAATAGATTCTTGTGGATGCGCGTCCGATGGCATTTCAGGTTCCTGTGAGGAAGAACGGTTAAAACTCATGGAAATACAAGAGAGTACCAATATTATATGACAGCAGCTGTACAATAATCCTTTCAGCGTAGAGAGAGACACACAGAGAGAAACAAAGAGAGAGTCACACAGAGAAAAAGGGAAACACAGAGACACCTACACACAGAGAGAGAGTGAGAGAGTGAGAGAGACCTAGCGATATATATATGTGTATATGTATATATATAGATCACGGCGAGAGACAAACAGAGGGAGAGACAGAGAGAGATACATGCACAGAGAGAACGAAAGAGACAGAGACACCCGGAGAACACAGAGAGAAACAAAGAGAGGCACAGAGAGAGGGCCAGAGAGAGAGAAACGCACACAGATCGGGAGAGGCAAAGAGAGAGACAGAGAGACACACACACAGAGGGGTACACAAAGAGAGAGAGAGTCTTTACTGATAACCACCAGTTATCTCTCAATGTTTGAGCTGTTTACTGTAATGTTTGTAGTTCAGGAGTTATAACAAGGATGTTCCAAACAAAAACGAAAGGAATAAATTTTAAGTATAGAGGTCACGTGATACATCAGGTCGAAGGCTTCCTGTAAATAGAATACTACTGCACAAATGTATAGATACATACCTGAAATAGCTGAAGATAATGAGGGACACTATTGTAACAACCAGAGAGAGGCACAAGCCAATTATTTCCATTGTCCTGGCGCTTGAGACGATGTCTCTGAGTACCTGAAAGTGGGTGAGTGAGTGAGTGAGTAGGTATGTTTGAGGCCACATTTTCAGGAAGGGACCATTTAATAATCTGGTAGGAGATTTGCAATTTGTGGCTTTGAGCAGAATATCCCTTGATTCCTTATTTCTGTGAAAGGATCCCATTTGGAAACATTATGTTGAACCATGCATATAGTATTTTTGAAGACTTTAGACACAAAAAGACTACTTTATTGTGGTCCATGAATACATGCTCATACCCAGAATGCGATAATGGCATCTGGTCTAACCAGAGATTTCTTGTGGCTATGAAGCTTTGAAACATAACCTTTTATTAACCGCGTGTTATGACACCAAACATATTTTGAAATATATATGCACTATTTCTCTTGACCTAAGTAAACTAAGTTAAGCCTTATTTGGATTTTCAAATGCACTATTACACAAACTCACGTTCTTTCAACTTCATGTTCCATAGTACTGCGTGTGTTTTCTGGAGTTTAGTCTCTGACAATATGTAATTATGATACAACTAATAACCCCATTCAAAAAGTCAAAATTCTCACCACTGAGGTAAAATAATTCAAAGTGAACGTGAGGATTATCTGGACTTCCTTTCGGGGCTTTAGCATTATATACTTATGGAAACAAATAAGGGAACACATGAAAGTACAAGTGTTCCTATGTTCTTTTCCATGTTTCTTCACAAGGTATGTATTGCACTGTGGGTGAAATCCTGGAAATAAATAAAGGAACACTTGTACTTTCATGTGTTCCCTTATTCGTTTCCATGAGTATATATAAATGCTGGGCTTTAAATGAACAATATAACATGGTTCAGAGACTTGAGGTTCTCCTCTTTCCCTTATGGCATTGCTGACGTGTACTCACTTGTTTCTGCTGTGGCGTTTTGTTCATGTAGAATCTCTTGTATATTTCAAGAGCCTGTTGGGTGTAGCAGCCGATGTAGTTGGTGTAACCCTGGGGGGACGCTGAAGTCTCCGGGGTTTTTCCCCTCCCATCGGCCATTCGGTCCACATTTCCGAGTGGCAAAGTCTGTGGCAAAATGGAGGTTTAGGTCAAAGTATAGTTCAATACGGAGGTCAATGCGAAAGTCAAAGCGAAGTTTATTTTTAATTGTCAAAAAGAATAAAAAATGAAGATTACTTGAAACAAATGTAGAAAAATATGAAACAAACTTTTGAAAAAAGAAACTCGGACATATGACTGCACATTATTTCTTGACTAGATGTTTCATTGAACTTACTTGTGGGTACCAACCCGGGTAGAGGGGGGGGCAGTTCATGCGAACTGCGGTGCCAGCTTTGGCCGCTTTCCAGCATAGAACTTTGTCCCATGTTGCGTTACAGTATAAACCTGAAACCAAAACTAATATGATAATTCACACACATATTACATGGTTCTTATTTTAATGCCACAGTCAGTAATATCCCAGGCATAACACTGCTAAATAAATGCTTGCGCGGATAAACCCGTGTTCGATATTATGGACACCATACAACGCTTCGGATTACGATGACCAAAATTCCGTGCCTGTAAGAAAAATAATTATGTCTCTATTAGAGGCGCCAAGCAAAACATGGCCTTTATGCGTCGAAATTGAATATCTGGATGGTCATCATAGAAAAGTACGCGTACACACTGAGCGCTTTCTTAGGATTAAAGGCATACGGCCTCGCCCTTCTATGTGCAGAGTTGTGTCCCTTAGGTTAAGGTTCCTGTCAGGAAGAAAGGAATCCTGAATTGTAAGCAGAGTATCAACACTTTATGTTTTCACCAAAAAATAGTGTTCCTTACAAAAGTGAAATGCCGCAATATCAGTGTCCCATGGTAAACCACAGGGGCTAGTTCAGCGGTTACGCGTCTGCACGCCAGGCCAAAAGCCTGGGTTCAATTGCCCAATGTGTGAAACCCATTTCTGGTTTCCCGCTATGATCTTGCTGGAATGTTGCTAGAAGAAGCGTTTAACCCAACTCACACACTCACACTCTGACTCACACTCACGTTAACTCGATCACTATTGAAAGAATGTCCAAGCAATACATTTACATAATTGTGGGAAACAAAATGTAAAATTAAAATCCCTACGTTAGGCAAAACAAATATTAACTGAGACATATTTCAGAAAAGAAGGCCATCTTTTATGCAACACACAGACCGATTCGACCTTGAATACAGGGGAGCCCCAGTCGTTTGTTATAACTTATATATTAAAGGTTCGTGTCATGGCTGTCCTTGATAAAGTATCATGACCTTGACCTTTAGTATTAGTAGGTCAAACACCACGCAGAGGAGATCATTGCGTTTTTATGTGTCCCCGCCGTGTGTTCAAACACGAGTTATTAATGTCAACATCGCCTGCCGTATTAATTGAGGGCAACAAAGAACGCCCATTATAAAAAAAAAATCCAAATCTCGTGCCATACTTAAGACACCTCTCTTTGTACCTGTTGTGAGGCTGTACTGTATATGACAATGGAGAGTTTGGTAGTGGCTGTTTTCATCGCCGATAATATCGACTCTTGTGTTTAATGACACAGTGGTGAGATTCTCCAGACTGTGCATAAATGCCATATTGACAATTCGGACTAAGAAGGACCCTTCAAATTCGTGTTGGGAGCTAAGGTAGCCTAGCTGCGTAAAGTGTCGCAGTTCGTGATGCATAGTTGCGTCCCTTCGGCCTGCCCCTAAACGATTACAGTGGGTTCGGGAACGTTGATCGAGCTAATTATATCTTTACCTTGGTCAGCATCACACATTTTGTGAGTGAGTGAGTGTGGTTAGCAAATTCCAGCAATATCACGGCGGGGGACACCAGAAATGGGCGTCACACATTGTATCCACGTGGGGAATCGAACCCGGGTCTTCGGTCTGACGAGCAAACGCTTAACAACTAGGCTACCCCAACGTCCCCGTGCTTTGTGTTTTACCAAAGTTTCTTCCCGCATTAACCATATACGCCGGGATATACCTGAAAAGCTTTTAAAGTTTAAAACCAACGCAGCTACAGTTCCTACCTGTGACACATTATATGAATGCACTTTGCAAAAATACAAACCAGGTTATGCAAGCATAGTAAGATATATGCTTCTTTTTAGAAAGCACCCTTTGATGTCAATAATTACTGCTGAACCAGTTATTACAACTTTTGAATTTTGTTTGAACATCAATCCCATAATTGGAAGGTGTAAGGCAATGCTTCAGGACTTCAAAACCTTCGCGAACTATTATGTCATCACTTTAATATGGCATGCACGTCATTCTGACTCACTGTGTCTTATATAATGTGTGTGTTTTGCTTCTTGCTTAACGTCTCACAATTTCCCAGGTATATGAACGCGGTCTGTGAACAATAAGTCCTGATTTATTGACATCTTGAACCTCTAACTGCGCACATGAGATGCGATACATCAGCCGAGTCAGAGAACTTGACACCTCGAACACCGATAGTTGCATCGCACGACATCGTGGGTTGCTGAAGGCAACTCTTCCACGGGGGGAGGTGTCAGAGCACACGCACTGAATAAGCTGATTGTTGTTTAACGCCGCAATCAGCGGTTTTCCGCTATACGACGGGGTCTGCAGATACTGGTATCTGGATCAGACAACCCTGTGATTGACATCAAGCTAGGTTATTAGATGTGTGTTTGTTTGTTGTTTAACACGCACTCAGCGTTATTCCAGCTATATGACAGCTGTTTGCAAATTATCGAGTTTGGACCAGGAAACCTAGTGGCTGACATCATGAGCATCGAAATATGCAGTTGGAATACGATGACATGTGTCAGCCAAGTAAGAGGGCCTAACCACCCGAAACCGTTAGTCGCCTCTTGTGACAAGCATGGGTTGCTGAAAATCAATTCTTACCCGGGAGTTTCTCGGGTCAACTTCGGAGGTTCATCGTTAACACTATCCTTCAGTCTTAAGGGCGCTACTCTATTTCTTTTCATATTCAAAAGGGTAATCGTTATGTAGATGTATGGTGTATATTTATATTGAATGGTTACATATTACCATGTTCGTACATATATGCATGAAACCCGCATGTCAAACAAAGTGCAGTACCACATTACAAAATACATACCGATCAATTCATCTACTGACAAATAATTTCATCCTATATACTAGATGACGTCATAATTCAAGTATAACGTTACTTTCTAACAATTATGACAACATCAATAACTTTGGAGCACGTAGATAGCATGTTAAAACCGCCTAATGAACTCGTTTAACTAAGAAAGGCATCATCACATCAATCTTTATTAAAATAATAAAATAATTCGGGACAGATATGAGCATGAAAATTAAATTTTAATGTTAAATTACATTTTTCAAATTGAAAAGAGCTTCATTATACACTCTTGTCCACAAATCGTAGCGGTACAGTTCTTTGAAACTCTTCCAAACGTGCCCTCCAGCGTTTTAAACTGCTTAGCCTTTTCGAATTTATGTGAACACAAGCGAAAGTTAACACGATGGTTGGAGGCTTTTGCGTATCGTTCAAAAGCAACATCACATATATTGTAAAGATTACGTAAACAAGGTAGGTACTTTTGAGGAGTAGTGTAGATGTACATGGCAACAAAATGTGCGTATAATTTGTAAACAAAAAGTACACTGACATTATAATAAGGCTGGTATGTAACGATGGGACGTCACTGCATTCCAGGTCCTTATACATCACTACAGCGTGTATACCATTGTCGGTCGCTTGGTGGGTGTACCTTCGATTTCTAGAGCAATTGAGTGAACTGCGTTTTGAAAGCTATCACCACCATGAGATTTGTAACCTCTTAAATTACTCGCGTAGAAACCCTTGGTTTTGTTGAACATGATTATCTGACCATAAATCCATTTCGCTGGGATCGGCATACAAAGGACGAATTTTTAAATATTTTTTAGCAATCGAAACACAGAAATCACCAGCTGTCGTTCAGATTTTCTGTAAAACCCCTTATCCTTGGACGGTACACTTGATGGGTATTACCGAAGTATGTTATACCGCTTCTGTTACATATATTTGTTCAGTTGTTCGTAAAGATGACATTCTTGAATAATGGGGATTATAATGATGGTCTGGAGTTGGACATTGAGTTCAAACATCAAACAGAAAGTGGGGCGGTTGGGTAGCCTTGTGGTTAAGGCGTTGGCTCCTCACACCGAAGACCCGGGCTCGATTCCCCACTTGGGTCCAATGTGTGAAGCCCATTTCTGGTGTCCACCGCCGTGATATTGCTGCGATATTGCTAAAAGCGGCGTAAAACTAAACTCACTCAGTCAAACAGAAAGTATTATTTGTTTACTTTAAACTGTCGGACAAACGAAAGAACACACGTAAACGCTGAACTGGACAAACACACATGCAAGCCTTATCAAGACATTACTAGACTTAAAACATTCAATAAAAACTGCAATGTCAAGTTCCAACACATAACTTTTAATTGTGTTTGATTCGTTTTAGTCACCGTCAAACAAGGTGTGTACTTACGATTGCCTTGCAGTTTATAACTGATATTGTAAGTATAGACCCCCGCCATGATGCGACGATAACTAGCTCACCCCACGATTCATTCATTATAACGCCTTTTTCTACGAATGTATTACGTTGTTTGTTTCTTGGCGTCATTTCCTATCGGGTTCAGGACAAACCCCCCACAATTAATGTCTCTGCAGGGTCCAATGTGGAATCCATCTTAAGGAACAATATATCTTAGCATAGCCACTCATCGATGTCTTGTGACTTGGAAAATGTCATCATTCTTGATTAATGGCCAGAAACAATGTCGCCTGAGTGGCATAGGTGATGTTTCTGAGACGCAGAATGTCTCATTAGAAGTATCCAATGACAACCAACATATTACTTACAAACAATAACGTATAATTCTGCTTAGCTTGACAGTCGGATTATTTCTTGTGTTTTCTCTGGCAAGCCTTTCCTTCATGCCTGTCCCGGACTTGTCAATTGTCTGGCAGTGTAAGATGTGCCCACGAAACGGTATCATTGTACAGTACACGAAGATTTCAGTAGAGGGAAGTGAGTGGGTGTTTGGCGATTGCTTAAGAGCATTGACCTTACGGGTAAGAACATTGACCCCTATCACTTATATTATGGCTCGAAATCAGTGTGCTATAACTAACACTGACGCTTTGGTAGCAAGTAATCGTGCCTACGTTCATATTACTTAAGGTTTCCTTTCCGTTTCGAATAAAATGTGTGAATTCTCAGAAACATAAAATTTCACAATTTCACAATTTCAGTTCCTTAAATGCACCAACATGGAGATGTATGCTCTCGAATCCGGAAGTACATTCAATTTGATTCGACTTCCGGAATCAACAGACTTGCATGATAT